CAAATGATTTCACTCATATGTGGAGTATAAGAACAAAGAAAAACTGAAGGAACAAAACAGCAGCAGAATCACAGAACCCAACAATGGACTAACAGTTACCAAAGGGAAAGGGACTGGGGAGGATGGGTGGGAAGGGAGGGGTAAGGGTGGGGAAAAGGAAAGGGGGCTTTACGATTAACATGTATAATGTGTGGGGCGGGGCACGGGGAGGGCTGTACAGCACAGAGAAGACAAGTAGTGATTCTACAACATCTTACTACACTGATGGACAGTGACTGTAATGGGGTTTGTGGGGGGAACATGGTGAAGGGAGGAGTCTAGTAAACATAATGTTCCTCATGTAATTGTAGATTAATGATACCAAAAAGAAATATATATATATAAACACTCATTGAGATGGACACTTAAAGAAAAAAGAAAAGCGCAAGCCCAACAGGGTTACTTCTCCTGGGCCAAGTCACCAAACTGGGACTTAATTCTAACCTAATTGCAGTTTCAGCCTCTCTCAGGAGTGGAATTTTAAACCAGTCAGTATGCAATCTCCTAACCATTAGTTATATAATCTGCCTAAGACCCCCTGCTCTTCCTCCTAAGGGAGGTGACCTTACCTGAAACAATCTGATCTTTTGCCAGTAACTGCCGCACCCTACTATCTATAAAACTTTCCATTTGTGCAACTCCTTGGAGCATCTCTCTACTTGCTAAATGGGATGCTGCCTCATTCATGATTGCCTAATAAAACCAATAATATTTTCAAATTTACTTGGTTGAATTTTGATTTTTAACAATGTAAAGTACTTATAACAATGCCTCACACAATAAGTGTTCCTGAAGCATTAGGGAGAAAACCTTCAGTTTGTTTCAAACATCTTTAGATGAATACAGATTTTCACAACTCAGTGTTGTAGCAGTTTGAATTTCCAAAAGACATGATAATTAGGAAATATAATGAGTTGATTCATTCAGTTATATTTGTTGAGTGCCTACAATGTGCCAGGCACTGTTAAATTTCAAATATTACCCATTTAAGTGTTACCCAATGTGTTTAGGGCTCAGTCCAAGCAAGTGTTGCTGACTCAGACAGAAAAACCATTTGAGCTTTTGACACTCAGACTGTGCCAGAATGACAACACTGGAGACTTGGGGGCCTCAAACTCAAGGATAGTTTATCTATCAAGATATTTATAGGTATCTGAAGCTACATGGAATGGGAGGCTAACAAGCTAAACTAAAACACTGGGAAAGAAAAAGAGGAATTTTCCAGTCTTCCAGTGCTACTCAGATAAAGACCGTTACAGGAAGATCAATAATAGTAAGTCCAATAAGCAATAGTTTCTATTACTACTCTTTAAGCTCAATGATCCTTTCAGATATTGATGGGTTTTTTAATCTCTACAAGTGCCATTTATTTCTTTTTATTATCTTGTATTTTTCTGTTTATTATGTTTATGTTTTCTTTTAAATCTTTGAGCATATTACTAATAA